AGGAAGAAGAAGAACACGTGAAGCTCCATTGATAGGATTCATTTGTATAATAATGTATAATATTGTATAAATAGTATATAATAGTGTATAAACACAACTTATACACTATTATATCCAAGGTTGATACATTATTTACAGGTATTTGGTGAATTTCTCGCATTTTCTTCTTCTTCTTCTTCTTCTTCTTCTTCTTCTTCTTCTTCTTCTTCTTATTATTATTATTATTATTATTATTATTATTATTATTATTATTATTAACCTATATACATAGTGTATCAAGAATATTTTCACTGTGTGATTATACATCTTTATACACTTTTATACAACTATATACATACTGTACCTCTTTTGTATAAAAGTGTATAACATTGTATAAAAGTGTATAAGTATCGCTGACGAAATTTTTGTACGATTTTCACTTGCAATTCTTGTATAAAACTAGTCCAAATCTCCAGCAAATAACTTCAAACTTTGTATACAACCTACTTAGACTATTTCTAATAAGTTCAAATAATACCCACTCCAAATTTCTCACAAAATCATAATCGAAATTTAACAAGATTAGCATTAAAGGAGATGAGATTTTAGGTTTCTCGCGTCTGTTTTTGCGTTTTGCAGTTGTGATAGGTATGTATAACCTGAAGATATACAAAATTTTAAAAAAAAAATAGAGAAGTATTGGTTATGGAAGAAGGCACGAATGAGTGTTGACTGGGTGGGGAACTAATTTTTCTTTTCAGTTTTGTTCGCATAGAAAAGAATAATTGTTCTGTTTCTCTCTCTTCGAACGGTAACTTCTCCATCTTCGTCAACGGTAACTTCTCCATCTTCTCCGGCAAATCCACCGGCAAACCAGCTCCGCCGGCACTCGTCCAGGTAAGTACCCGTCTCCATTCTCTCTCCTCTCTCTCTCCACGCTTACCTCTCTCTCTCTCCTTTCTTTCTCCTTTCTCTCTCCTCGCATACCTCTCTTTCTTCCTCTTTCTTTAAACCCTAGCAGTAGCTAGGCCGGCGTCCGGTGACCCACCGGCGCGGTCTCATCTTCCTTCTGCTTCTCCGACCCCACCAGACCACTCTCCTCTGTGTTTCCCTTTCTTCAAACCTTTCTTCATCGTACCACTGTTTCTCGGACTGGCACTGTTTTCCGACAACCGTTCCGGTGACAGTCCCCTCCTTTTCTTGGTCCCGTGGTGTGTTGTGTGTGTTTCAGTAGCAGGGCAGGCCAATTGGCCGTCACAAAGGGTTGGACGTCGGGTTCCAAAGCACCCGGGTTGTATTTGCAGGAATTGCTGCGGCTGCCCAGGCAAGCGCGAGGCATACGGGCGAGTAGAACGGAGCATCACCGGGCGCATAGGCACGGGGGTCAGGGGTTGGAACGAGAGGAAATGAGGGTAAGGGGAAAGAGGGAGCTTGTAGATTGAGGATCGGTTCGTGGAACATAGGCACGCTGACGGGTAAGTCTATTGAGTTGGCAAAGATTCTCCAAAAGAGAAAGGTTAATATAGCGTGTGTCCAGGAGACTAGGTGGGCAGGGTCGAAGGCGAGGAATGCGGATGGGTATAAGTTATGGTACTCTGGAGTCGTGAGGGGTAAGAATGGAGTGGGTATCTTGGTGGATAGGGATCTTAGAGAGTCTGTGGTTGAGGTTAGGCGAGTGAATGATAGGCTAATGTTTATTAAGTTGGTGATCGGTGTGTGCACCCTCAATGTCGTTAGCGCCTACGCGCCGCAAGCGGGCCTGGATGAGGAGGTTAAGAGGCGCTTTTGGGAGGGCTTGGACGAGATTGTGCGTAGTATTCCACCTACTGAAAGGTTATTTATTGGAGAAGATTTTAATGGCCATATTGGGGCAGCTGCTGGTAGTTATGGCGAGGTGCATGGTGGCTTTGGCTTTGGGGATAGGAACAGAGGAGGTACTTCGCTGTTAGACTTCGCTAAGGCTTTCGAGCTGGTGATTGCGAACTCGACTTTTCCGAAGAGGGAGGAGCATCTGGTTACTTTCCGGAGTTCGGCGGTGAAGACTCAGATCGATTACCTTCTCCTCAGAAGGTGTGATAGAGGGTTGTGCAAGGATTGCAAGGTTATCCCGGGAGAGACCCTCGCGACTCAACATAAGCTCCTAGTGATGGACATCGGCATCAGGATGAAGAGGAAGAAGCGGTATGCTCGTGGCCGACCGAGGATCTGGTGGGGAGCATTAACCAAGGATAAAGCCCAGGAGTTGGAGGGGAGGTTATCCGCTATGGAGCTTGGAGGAGTAGTGGAGACGCGAGCACTATGTGGTTGACGACGGCGAACTATGTGAGGGAGGTGGCGAGAGAGGTGCTAGGTGTATCGAAGGGTTTTTCTGGCAGGCACCAAGGAGACTGGTGGTGGAATGACACAGTCCAAGGTAAAGTGAAGGCGAAGAAGGTAGCGTACGCGAAGTTAACAGGGAGCACAAGCGAGGATGAGAGGAGTGCGAATAGAGAGAGGTACAAAGTGGCTAGGAAGGAGGCAAAGCTGGCGGTCACGGAGGCTAAGAATGCAGCATTTAGCCGTCTATACGAGGAATTAGGGGAGAAAGGCGGGGAAAGGAAGTTGTTTCGGCTTGCTAAAGCGAGGGAGAGGAAGGCCCGGGATCTGGACCAAGTAAGGTGCATCAAAGACGGGGATGGTAGAGTATTGATGGAGAGGCCCAGATTAAGCAGAGATGGCAGGCGTACTTTTATGGTCTTCTGAATGAGGAGGGGGACCGGGATATAGCGCTAGGGGACTTGGGGCATTCGGAGAGTCTTCGAGATTTTAGGTATTGTAGGCGCATTAAGGTGGAGGAGGTCGTGGGGGCGTTGCGTAAGATGAGTAGGGGTAGAGCGACCGGGCCAGATGAAATTCCGGTTGAGTTTTGGAAGTGTGTGGGTAGAGCAGGATTGGAATGGTTGACTGGGTTGTTCAATGTAATTTTTAGGACGAAGAGGATGCCGGAGGAATGGAGGTCGAGTACAGTGGTACCGTTAGACAAGAACAAGGGTGATATCCAGTGTTGTAACAATTATAGGGGTATCAAGTTACTTAGACATACCATGAAAGTCTGGGAGAGGGTGGTGGAGGTGAGGGTGAGGAAGACGACGTCTATATCCGACAATCAGTTTGGGTTCATGCCGGGCTGCTCCACTACGGAAGCTATTCACCTTATTAGGAGGTTGGTGGAACAGTACAGGGATAAGAAGAAGGATCTGCACATGGTGTTTATTGACTTGGAGAAAGCGTATGATAAGGTTCCTAGGGAGGTGCTCTGGAGATGTCTTGAGGCGAAGGGCGTGCCGGTAGCCTACATACGAGCGATCAAGGACATGTATGATGGAGCTAAGACTAAGGTTAGGACGGTGGGAGGCGACTCGGAGCATTTCCCGGTTGTTATGGGATTACACCAAGGCTCAACGCTTAGCCCGTTCTTATTTGCCTTGGTGATGGATGCTTTGACACACCATATTCAAGGGGAGGTGCCATGGTGTATGTTATTTGCTGACGACATAGTTCTAATTGACGAGACGAGGGCCGGTGTTAACGAGCGATTGGAGGTTTGGAGACAGACTCTCGAGTCTAAGGGTTTCAAATTGAGCAGGTCTAAGACAGAGTACCTGGAATGCAAGTTTAGCGCTGAGTCGAGGGATGTAGGCGGGGACGTGAGGCTTGGGCCACAGGTCATCCCCAAGAGAGATAGCTTCAAGTACCTTGGGTCGATGATTCGGGGGGATGGAGAGATCGACGAGGACGTCACTCACCGCATAGGGGCGGGTTGGATGAAATGGAGGCTTGCATCTGGAGTCTTGTGTGACAAGAAAGTGCCACCGATACTCAAAGGTAAGTTTTATAGAGCTGTAGTTAGACCGGCCATGTTGTATGGGGCAGAGTGTTGGCCGGTTAAGAACTCTCATATCCAGAGGATAAAAGTAGCAGAGATGCAGATGTTGAGGTGGATGTGCTGTCACACTAGGATAGACAAGATTAGGAATGAAGATATTCGGAAGAAGGTGGGCGTCGCCCCTGTGGATGACAAGATACGGGAAGCGAGACTCAGATGGTTCGGGCACGTGCAGAGGAGAAGCCTCGACGCACCGGTGAGGAGGTGTGAGAGGTTAGCCGTGGTGGGTACGGTAAGAGGTAGAGGGAGACCTAAGAAGTATTGGGGAGAGGTGATCAGGCAGGACATGGCACGACTGCACATTTCCGACGACATGGCCCTTGATAGGAAGGCTTGGAGGTCACGCATTAGGGTTGTAGGATAGGGGTAGTAAAGCTTTCCTTACTTCATTCCGGGGGTGAGGCGGGATTGGATTAGGGTTGGTCTTGGATGGCTTACAGTTTATGTTGGACCCAAACTATTCTTGTTGTTTGTCTTAGCCCCGGGCCTTAGATTATGGTTACTGTTATTGCATGTCATTCATCTTTCGGTTTTTATGTTTCTGTTATTATTACGATTTCCACTGGAGTTACTAATGATTTCTCTCCTCTTGTTTTTTATTACTTTATTTTTGTCTTTCTGAGCCGAGGGTCTATCGGAAATAGCCTCTCTGCCCCTATCGGGGCAGGGGTAAGGTTTGCGTATACATTACCCTCCCCAGACCCCACTATGTGGGACTTTACTGGGTAATTGTTGTTGTTGTTGTTATAGTTTTATTCGCATATGATTCTTTTTTCATTAATTAAATAAAATATTTATGGGTGAAAAATGAGGAGAGAGCTACAATAGGAGTAGGTAGGAATAAATGAGGTTGCTATAATTAGAGGGAATGATAAAAGAAAAGATCTTATTGATATTTGGCTACATATTTGCAAACTTGTAACTGGGCTAAAATAGTGCAAGGTCAACTTATGGAGTGCATTATTCTGTAATTTTGTCTTTTGAATTTCTCCCCAAATGTATGATTTTCATCTTCAAAATCTTTTACCTTATTATATCTTATTACCTGTTTTCCTTCAAAAAAAAATCTTATTACCTGTTTTTTGAATTCCCTAAAGTACCCTTTCCTTGCCAGGAGCCGTTTCTTTTCCAAGTTTTTCACAAGTGCAAAATCAAGTCCCATTTGCAGGTTTAGGGTTCATCAGAATTTTCCCAAAAAGCACTCACTTTGATTACTCTAATTGAGCAATGGAATACGAAGAACAAGTCCTTGTAGATCAAAACTTCCCTTTATTCTCCCGCAAAACTAAACCCACCACCAAAAACCCTGTTGCTGCTCCCGCCGCCGCCGCCGCCGCCGCCGAAAATCCCAAGCAGCAGCTTCTCAAGGAGACCAACTCTAGTCCCACACCTAATCACATCACCTTCTCCGACTTGGGCCTCGCTGAATGGGCAGTCCAAACATGTAAGGAACTGAGCATGAAAAAACCTACGCCTGTACAGTACCACTGCATCCCTAGAATCCTCTCCGGCCGAGATGTATTAGGTTTAGCTCAGACCGGTAGTGGAAAAACGGCGGCGTTTGCATTGCCCATTCTCCACCGCCTTGCTGAAGATCCTTATGGGGTGTCCTGTTTGGTGATCACACCCACGCGGGAGCTTGCTTTCCAGCTGGCTGAGCAGTTTCGGGCCTTGGGTTCCTGCTTGAATTTGCGGTGCGCTGTGGTGGTGGGAGGTATGGATATGATAACCCAGACCAAAACTCTGATGCAAAGACCTCACGTGGTGATAGCTACTCCCGGTAGGATTAAGGTTCTCATTGAACAGAATCCTGATATTCCCCCTGTCTTCTCCAGAACTAAGGTAAATAAAACAGCTCCTTTTAGTTCTATCAGAAGATTGCTAATTCTGATGTTGTAATTATTTTCTGGTAAACTCAGCTATGAATTGAGATCCTATAATGTGAGGTTAGTTGAGGATTTCTTAGAATTCCATTATTATAGCTAAAGAATTAATGAACAAGGTCGAACATTTTTTTTTTGATAACCGCGGTGTCCGTGGTAAGGTCTGTGTACACTCTACCCTCCCCAGACCCCACTTGTGGGATTACACGGGGTATGTTGTTGTTGTTGTATAACCGTGGTATCCGGGCCAGCTTGCTCGCACCTCGACTAATTCCACGGGATACCTGCCACCTCCCACCAACAACAACAGGTAACTCTACCAGGTAACTCTATCCACCAAGGCTTGGATAGATGGGAAGAAATCACCTTGCGTTTTTTTGCCTCCTCTCGGATTTGAACATGTTACCTCATGGTTACCACTAGGCCACACCCTTGGGTGCCAAAAATGTGTTCACTTTCAAGGAGATTCTTTTTAAGAATCTATGTCGAAAGAGTTGGATAAGTTAGTGCATTATTACAGTGCTGGTTTTTGTCAAATACAATTCAAAAGAAACCTTGTTAAAAAAATAATTCTTTTTTCTCTTCGATAAGTAATGTCGTAGAAGTATATTGATATGTCGGTACACGAAAGTTCTGGTAAAGCTTCATAGGACTAACATCTTTTGTGCCCTGGTTCATCCAAAAGGTTGGTAAAAAACTATAAGACTTTTTGAGAATGAACAGGCATATAGCACCAAGGCAGATTGTAAGTTTTGAATTGTGTAATGATCATCTTTGAGCCATCCAGATCTATTTTTATCTTATTCAATAAGAGCCAGAATAAGCTGTTTGCTAAGGAACGATGAAGTTTTAGACACTTCATTTTCTATAGAGACCAGCAAAGCAGCAGTTATTTGCCTAAGCAGGCAAATACCTCTTCTTCTTTTTGTCTTCTGTTTTTATGACAATGTGCTTCATGCCTGAAGGGTGAAAGTTCATTCCTTTATTTCCTTTAGTCCCATGTTCCTGTTCGGCTTCGTTACTGTGAAATTAGTCTAATATTAGCAAATACCCATACCAAACCACATGGATAGTCTTCCTCTCCAATTGTGAACTCTTATCTCTATGTTGCCTTTCAGTTCCTTGTGTTGGATGAAGCAGATAGAGTTCTAGACGTAGGGTTTGAAGAGGAATTAAGGGCAATATTTCACTGCTTGCCAAAGAATCGACAAACTCTTCTATTCTCTGCAACAATGACTAGCAACCTACAGACACTACTTGAGCTTTCTGCAAACAAGGCGTATTTCTATGAGGCATATGAGGGATTCAAGACGGTAGAGTCGCTTAAGCAGCAGTACATTTTTATTCCCAAGAATGTGAAGGATGTCTATCTGCAATACATTTTATCCAAACTCGAAGATTTGGGTGTTCGCTCTGCCATCATTTTTGTTTCCACCTGCAGGTACAATTCTTTCTGAAGCCCTATAGGCTCATTTTACTAATTAAATTTCTATAAAGAAGTGTTAGTTCTATCTCAGGAGACCTTTGCTTGAGGTTTTATTCAACTTTAAGATGGCCGCACCTGCAAAACGACAAGAAAACAAAGTTTAACTTTCTGGTTTAGAAGAGATAAAACTAAAAAGTCAAAAGTTTACTTTAAAAATGAAAATTCAAGTAATCCTTTCATTAATAGCAGCCCGATCATTGTGAGGAGTATGTAAAAAGGGCGTGATTCAACAACTTTCATCTACCAAGACCAACTATTGCACCAAAATTTATAGATGAAACAAAAAAAATCTTTTCATACTTCTAGCATCTATCTCATTAATCTGGAAGATTCTCTTATTTCCTTTATTCCAGTAAGTGAAAGTATGTGCAGCACCAAGGCATGTCAATAATAAAAAGAAAGAGGAAGTTGATGATTTTCCGGACGTTTACAGTTATGTTATACTATTTTGACTAGGAGCTGTCAGCTTTTGGGTTTGTTGTTGGAAGAACTCGAAATGGAGGCTGCGGCATTGCATTCATACAAGTCCCAGTCACTGAGGCTTTCTGCACTTCATAAATTCAAATCTGGGCAGGTCCCAATATTGGTTGCTACTGATGTTGCCAGTCGCGGTTTAGACATTCCGACGGTTGATCTGGTGATAAATTATGACATCCCAAGGTTTGAGTTTAATTGGATATTTCCATTACAAGTTAATCAAAAAGAGTTTGATGTGTTAAATGTAGCGATTGTTCGCTGCAGGTATCCACAGGATTATGTTCATCGTGTTGGACGTACGGCAAGAGCTGGAAGAGGTGGACTTGCTGTCAGCTTTATCACTCAGGTGAGAACTTGACAGAATTCTTTTCTGTCGCTAGGGCTTTTCAGATCTGAGTAGTATGGCCGGAAATATCTGCCCGTACCAGGAATGGTTGTTTGTAGAAAGGCCTGTCACGGAATGTTCAGAACACAGCAATAAATTAAACTAGCAATAAGTGGGTATCTGTATTCTTATGGAACAACTGAAAGAAATGAAATCATAATTGGTAATTTTTCCCTGTTTGACTGTGCTTTGATGGCGGAGTTACTTGATAGCTGTATTGATGGAAGATGCAGGTACCCAGGTGTATTCACCATCTAAAGCCAATTCCAGTCATGTATTATCCTCTTTATGTTTTCGAAGCTGTTATGAGTGTCTTCCAGATGTTTGAACGTTTCCTTTTTCCATTTATGTTGACATAGCATGTCATCAATTTGTCTCAGCTTTTTGGGTGCATTAGGTTTCTTCCCAGTTTGTGAGGACTGCTTATGTGAAGCCGATACAAATTTCCTTGACCCTTCAATTTCTTGTTTGTGAGAATGAATCACTGCTCTTGATCTATATTAGTTGAATTAGCACCATCTAAAGCTAATGCCAGCGCTTTATTCTCTTCTTCACATTTTTGAAGTTGTTGCCTGACTTTCCATGAGCCTCCTCCAGAGACTGAACTTTTCCTCCATTTTAGTTGATCCACGAGCTTCCTGCTAACTTCTTCCATCTCCAGTAGCATGAATCATTGTTTCTCAACTATTTGCATGCTTTGGCTCTCTTTCAGCTTCTGAGGATGTTTTCTTCTGTGAAGTCATTGCGAACTCCCTTAGCCCCCCAATTTCTTGGTTAAGAGAACAAATCTGTTGCTCTTGATCGATGTTGGTTGCATTAGCACCATCTAAAGCCAATGCCAACCGTCTATTCTCTGCTTCACATTTCGTAGCATCTCACATAGTCAGCTCGAAGCTTATGATCTGTAGAGCCTAGATGCTTCACAGCGGTCTGCTTTTCCTTTAGCTTTGGCTCAATTGCTCCGTAGGATTATTTCGTGACTACAAGCTCATCTTCTTTCCTAGTCAATTCATGAGTGAGCTTTTCTACCAATCAAATTTGCCTCCTGATTTTTGGTTAGGAGCTCATTGTGGGTTCGTCAAGTTCTCAAACAACTCAGCTTTACTTTGATATGTAGTTTCTCCTTCAATTGCAAGTTTGCCTTCATCTTAGTGCATCATGTACTGTGCCGATTTCCTCGCTCCACAATTAGATCTACTAGAAACACCTGACAGTGAGATTTTGGGTCAAAGTCCATCCAATAAAGGGAGAAGAAGAGAAGTGGGGTTAACTTGGAAATGAAGAAATTGAATTGACCGACCTTCAGTCAAAAGGATGTGTTACTAATAGTGTGATTCAGTACTAGTGCTGCTTCTCTCTGACTGAAGTCGTTCCCTCTTCCTTTGATTTTCTCAAGCTTACTTACCCATATCATGGAAAAGGGGTATGTCAATGGCGACGTGTGCTGCGTTTTTATGAATGTTTTCTTTGTCTTGGAACTAATCAGGAACTTTTGGACTTTCAGCCTGATTATATTTTTCTTTAGCTTTGCTTAGTTTTAAGATTGTTTGTTGCAGAATGATGTGGATCTCATTCATGAAATAGAAGCCGTGCTCGGGAAACAATTGGAGAAATTTGAATGTAAAGAGAATGAGGTGCTTGCTGATATCACAAAGGTAAGAAACCCCCTCCCTCCTCTTTTTTTTCCTCCCCGAAATGTCTGGTCAGTTTAAATGAGATTATATGAGGAACGGATATGTCGTCATTTGCCAGTTTTCATGTTTCTGAATACCTGTATTGAGTAACTTTATGCAATGGCCAATGAGTAACCCACATGCCTAAAGGGTGCGTTTGGTATGGCATAAAACAACTTTTATACCCACTTTATGCAAAAAAAAATTATACCTCGATGCACATGCTTGAATAGTGAAGTTTGGTATGGCAGAAAATATTTTCAGAAAATTAGTTATCTTCTGATATTTGGTTATCAGAATAGACTTTTTTTCCAGGGAAAATATTTTCCACCAAAAGTGGGAAACTGACTTCACTCACTTTAGGTGGAAATCATTGTCCTTCGCAACAATCTCGACACTTAGTTTCAAAAACTTTACATTATTGTCAATTTTCAATGCTCAAAAACTTTACCAAAACAATATCCGGTTTGCTAATGTTGTTGTCAATCTTTAATAAATATTTTTAAGAAAATATTTTCCAATCTCCTACCAAATATTGGAAAACATCTTTCTGCAAAAAATTAGTAAGAAATGACATCACTTTCTGTCGTACCAAATACACCCGAAGTTTATAGTACTAGTTTTATATTCCACTTTGATGTCCCTCCTTAAAGCAGAGTGGTGGTTGAAATTCTTTTAGCTTCACATGAATTTTTTCCTCTTTTGAAGGTTTACAAGGCTAGGCGTGTCGCATCAATGAAGATGATGGATGATGGCTTTGAGGAGAAAGCAGAAAGTCGTAAAGCTCAGAAAGTGAAAATGCAAAATGAGAGAAAGGGAAGGAATAAAAAGCAGAAAAGAGAAAGAGTAGCAAAAGACGTATAAGATCTTCGATCTTATGATTTTACGAGTAGCAGACGTTTCTATGGGAGCTGCATTTTGCACAAGCGGCTACAGAGGAACATGTTAGTTATCAGATGTGGAGTTTTTGAGTTATTTCTCCACTCATCAGCCAAAAAGGAGAATTTTTACGTTCTTCTTAAAGTCTTGCACCATCACACTTAGAGAGATCAAGAGGTTCCTTAATATCCAACTTATCGTTATTGCTCAATTGGTCATTCTTGACAGCAATGGAAAGAAACAACGTCGAAATGAGGTCTGCAACCTTTCTTTTGGCAATGAATCAGCTTGACCGCTTGGACTGATAGTTTCTATATGTAATTTGTTTTGAAATATTGTTTACATAGTGAAATTTTTGGGCGAGACAACATTGGATGAATCGGCTTGTAACAATGTGTCTCAGCTCCTGGAATGTTCATAGTTGATATTTCTGTATATTAGCTATTTAAGGCACCGTTTGTCCATAATTTTTTTTTTTCTTTTTCTTTTTCAAGTTTTTTCTTCCAAAAATGTGTTTGTCCATGAAATTTTGCAAGTTTTTGGGAAATTTTTCGAAAATGAGTTTTTCAAAAATTACTTTTTCAAAAAATTTCTCTTTCCCCACTCACAAAACTGCAACATTTTTTCAAGTGAAATGTAGGGGTGTTCATAAAAACCTGAAAAAGCGAACCAAACCGACCAAAAAACTCGATACTTTTAAGGTTTGGTTTTGAATTTAAAAACCGATCAAATTTGGTTTGTTTTTGGTTTTAATAAAAAAATAACTAAAAAAACCAAACCAAACCAACTATAAAAGTAGCTATTTAAATTTATTATTACACCTATATACATGTATATTTTTATATAAAGTTTCTAAAATTTTATGGTACATATTAGTAATTTATATTTTTAGTTTAATTCTTTGCTATTTAATGATCTAATTCTTTGTTCTAGTTTGATTGGTAGTTTTCTTTTGCTAAGTACAAGAATTTATTTCATGTTAAAAATCGCCATTTTTTATTTAGTACTTAAATTATTCATCACTATTTGATTCAATTATCATCAATATATCTTGGTAAACGATAGATTTCTCAAAGAGCAATTGATTTGATAGTGTTATGTTGAAAATATAGTCGCCGGAATATGCGTTTGGTAGTGTATGTCTCATATTTAAGAAAAAAACCGATAAATAACCGAAGAAACCGAAAAAACGACAAAAATCGACAAATACCGAATCGATAAAAACCGACTTCATTGGTTTGGTTTGGTTCCAATATTTGAAAAATCGACTTACTTGGTTTGATTTTTTTTTAGGGAAAAACCGACCAACCGAACCATGAACACCCTTAGTGAAATGCATATCCAAACATAATTTCAAATTCCAAATACCATTTCTCACCAAAGCTCCAAATACTATATTTTTTTTTCAAAAATTATAATTTTTATGTCCAAACGGCTATTAAATTTCATGGATTTTGGAAATTTTAGAGAAAATACAATGAATTGGAGATGAGAACTGGAGGTGGCATTACATGCTATCAAACAAGTAATGGAGATGAAATTGTGGAGTAAACTGAGTTTTGACAGCTCAAGAACTATCATAGGCCAGGGGTATGCACTGAAGATTAACATTTCTGTGATAGTTTGTAAATATAGTTGTTAGAAAATAGGAATTTCGTTCTGCGGATCCTTTATGATTACTATTATTGATAATTTTATTAACTTTTTTAAGTATAATTTTACGTACTTAATTCATCACATGAAGGCTATGTACTACGTATCTTTCGGGCCTGTTCATGTTAGGTCCGGCTAAGGGCGTCAAATGGGCGGGTTGAGTTGATTTTGGGCGGGTCAAAATGGGCTGATCAATAAATGGATGGGTTAATTAGACTCGTCCAAAAGTAACTTAGGTTGAGATGAGTTGGGTCAAGTTGGGATAAAATTTGGGTCATAGCTTAACCTACCCAACACTTACCATTCTTTAATTAATGTGTATTATTTTCTTATGTATTGTTTAAATATCAAATAATGTTATAAATAGAATTCTATTTATGGTGAATGTCCATATTTAGAGAGATTCTAGGGTTCATTACTTGGTGGCTAAGTCACCGTCTCCCTATAAATAGAGGGTTCTATTCCATTATAATTCATCCCAAATTAATAAGAATTCTCTCTCTCTACTTTTCTCTGCAATATTGTTCTTGTTCTTTTATTATTTTATAACACGTTATCAGCACGAGACTCTAACCAATTGAGTAGAAGCTTTGGGATTGAGCATAATGATTGTCAATTATTCCATAAACTTCCTTCATGATTAAATTCTGGATTTAAGGTAAGTATTTTATCGTATTTTTCTCTTTTATTCTATACTTTGATTTTAAATACAAGCAAAGACAACGAAGTTTGATTATAACTCTAATGGAGTTAGTAAGAAATTATAACCACCCAAAGTGGTGAAATAGTTATCCCTTGCCATGATTGTGGGCAAAGAATTGAAAACTCGTCCCATTGAATTTGCTCCATTCTCATTCCCTTAAGAGAATGTGATAGCAGTATGTGATAAGTCTGAAAGACGACAAAATTATTACCGTGAAGGTATCAATGGATGTGGACGAGGCAATAGATGAAATTATAATCGTCATTATCGTGGTAATGAGAATAATAAGGATTCTCAAAATAAGCCTTCACTCTGTGAAGTTGATGTTTGTCATCGATTTGACATAAGATTTCGTAAAGCACATACAGATGCTTATGGTCCATTCATGATGTGAATGTGATAACATCTTATTTATAAATACATATTCATTCTTGGAAGAATATGAACGTGCTAGTGGTAGTGAATATACCACACTCACCTCTAGAGGGAGGTTTGAGATGATATAAGAAAACAATGTCATTATTATGGCATGAATGGTCATTGATCACGTACCTATTGTACGCCAAAATATTTTGGTAATGTGATTATTAAAGAATAACATTAATGCAAGAAACATATCTTGCATATAATTTTGACCATAACCATAATGGTATAACTTTCTCTTTAAAAGAGATATTCACCATATGGATGTTGATGAATATGTGATAGTACAAAATTAATTGAGAACTCTGCAAGAGCCAATTATACTATTTTGGAGAAACACAATTGATTACCAATAAGGTATTGTGTTATAGTAAGTATCGGAGAAACTTATTCAGTTTCCAAAGTATACGCGAAAGCGGTTGATTATATTGAGACTATAAATAAAGAAAAAATTTAATATCTTCTATTACTACATCTTGTAGCGGGGTAATATGTATGTGAAAAGCTACCCGCTTTATTCTCCAATTTGTACTACATAAACAAAAGAATACCACAATGAAGTGGATATTTATTGATATAAAAACCCATATCATAATAAACTTGGAGTTTATTGATAATTGCACACATCATGGTGTAAACCTGAAGTTTATCAATATTGATAATTTATCCAGTTGGCATACTTGGTTTAGCCATGTTAGTTCATGTATGATGTGCACAAATAATAGAGAATTCACATGGGTAAATATTAAAGAACTAGAAAGTTCTTTACGAATTCTCTTATATTGCTTGTTCTCATTAATTAATAGATCAACTAAAATTGGGATTGAATCCCATGAATGCTGGAAATATCAAAGGTGAATATGGGCCTATTCACCTGCCATGTATACCACATAAGATGCATCTATGAGATGGTTGCATGTGCGATTATTATTAACCCGCAACATGGTGTTTGCGAGGTAACTTGCTCAATAATTTGATTTAGAGCATAATTTCCAGATTTTCTAATTCAAGAAGTTCATCTTGATAAATTGGTTTACATCACAGTTGGTTTAGCAAAATGATTTATTGAGTGCCTCCACTTAATAGCTAAACTATTGCTTATGAGAACAAAGTTATCTATATCAGTTTGATATACGTTATATACGAAAGTATATTATTTTCTCCCCTCACAAGTGGTTCAGGATCAGGAATCAAATAATTCCATCTCATTATTATTGATGTGCGGTGTATATTTTGATTAACACCATAACGCACAAAGATGGGTTCTCAAAGTTGAGGAACCAAGTTAGTTTTTCTAACATGAGGGGGAGACAAGATACAACAGTTGAGAAAAAGTTACATGGAATGAATTATCATTTATACATCTAGATCCTCGAATAAGATAATATGAACTTGAAGTTCATAAAAGGATAATTCAGTTGCAATATATTGCAAAGCATGCCAGACGCATTTGCTGACCCAAAGAAAGTAACTATATTCTCATTGCAAATGCTCCTATTAGAATAAGTCCTAGAAGGACAAAGTCTATAGTACGCTTAAAGCATATAGACAAATCGGTTTCAAATAAACTTCTTGATAAAGAAGATGAGCAAATGATCAAAATGATCATAATAAAGGAGGCAAGTGATCTAGAAGATCACATGACATAACACTTCATAAAATCTCATGAGAGATTCAGGTACCTGAATATATGAATGAAGAGATCTCCATGTTATGTCTTTATGAAAAATAAGGAGGTTGGAACCGATATAAAATAGTTATCGACGACATCTATCATAGCGCTAAGATAGATGAGGATCTTAAGTCTATCGAATATAGACACAAAAATATTGGCCAAATGGAAGAGCCACAATTCAAGTATAATTTGAATTCATATGAAAGACATATAGTTTTGAACATGTAGTTCAAATACTTGAAAGTATAAAGTCAATGGTATGCGCAATCAGTTTTCGATATCTTATATGTCTAGCATGGCATGAAAACTTGATATGCATCTAAAGTCTATTATATGGCTTATATGACTTAAAAATCCTTGAAGGATTTAAATTGCTTAATGCATATAGAATTCATGGTCATGAAGTACTACATCCTCAGTGCAATTTGTGCACAAATGTATCTTGCTATAACTATAGGCAGATAATATGATAGCAAGAGTTTTCACCTCTATATGAAGATATTGAACTGACGATTCTAACAAGATCATATGAAGACAATTCATCTCTATCAAGAATGATGATTTCAAGGTGCAATATATTCATTCAAGCTAATATGGCTGATTTGTTTATCAAATCTCTACCAAAGATCTTTTGAAGATGGTGCACAAGATTGGAATGCAAAGGCTCAAGGATGTGAATTGATGCTCTCATCAGGGGGAGTTAACACGCGTTGTACTCTTTTTTCCTTACAAGGTTTTGTCCCACTGGGTTTTCCTTGCAAGGTTTTTAACGAGGCAACCAAAAGGCGTATCATTAGATATGTGTACTCTTTTTCCTTTTTCTAAATTTTTTTCCCATTGGGTTTTATTTTAGTTAAGGTTTTAACGAGGCACATTATCTGTTGAATAGACATTCAGGGGGAGTGTTATAAATAGAATTATATTTATGGTGAATGTCCATATTTAGAGAGATTCTAGGGTTCATTACTTGGTGGCTAAGCCACCATCTCCCTATAAATAGAGGGTTCTATTCCATTGTAATTCATCCCAAATCAATAAGAATTCTCTCTCTACTTTTCTCTGCAATATTGTTCTTGTTCTTTTATTATTTTATAACAAATAAGACTTTTTTTCTTTTGTTATGGTCATATACAATATATCAAACAAAAAAAAATTATTTTATATGTATATTTTAACAAAGTTACTCGTATATTAATTTGGGATAAAATCAGCAAATTTCACATGTGTCGAAATTGATTGGATCAAAATGAGTTGAATTCAACAAATAGGCGATCAATAACTAGCCCAACCTTGAATTTGGGCTCAAATTACCACCCTCAGGGTCCGCCAAGTTTTACTTGAACCGGCCGTCTAACCCTTCTGGCTGTTTCATAATTCATAGTCATAGAACGGACCGTCACCCCTTCAGGTTTTCCTTACTAATTGGCCACATGTGTAAAGTATTTTTATTTTATCCTCCTAATGTTGTGCTTGTTGAATCTTGTTAATTTCCATTCCCCCAAATTTGAATATACTTGTGCTTTGTTTCACTCCCTCTAATATGAAACATGAGTTTTTATCCCCAGATAACAACGATATATTTGGCCAGACTTCTGAAAGCAACTTATTTTGAGAAGTTTATTTTTTTCAAAATACTTTTTAAAAAAGTACTTTTGATGAGAAACAATTTGTATTTGACTAATTAATTAATTTGAAAAGTACTTTTAAGCAATAATTAATATTCGGCTAGACTTTTAAAAAGTAACTCTAAGTATATTTTTTATTTCTCAACAATCAATTTTGTTTTTATGCAAAAATATTATTTACTTCTAAAAGCTTGGCTCAAAAAGGCAAAAGTGTTGGTCCAATTGAATGAACATGGATGTGGCCCCCAATCAACTCGGAAACGCAGACATGTGTGGGCAAATGGTCAGATAGCGATTCTCAGGAATGTTATATAGAAATTGGTTGGTACTTATTTTATTCTAATTTTGAATTAAAAATCTCAACGTCGAGACAATTCAGAACATTATTGTTTTAAGAATTAAACAGAAAAACTAAAATTTAGAATATACTTAAAATTCCTAAATAGCACCTCTTTCCTTGGTCAAAATAGCATGGTATAGCCAGTTTTCGGACTGGTCATTCAAAAATAGCCAGCGTTTACCAAGTCCATGAAAAATAGCCACTATTTTGCTGCAACAGAGACCGGTCCAGCATAATATACTGGAGTTCGGTGCACCTGTGTATGAACTCCAGCATATTATGCTGCACCGGTATACTTTGCTGGCTCCAGTATAATATATTGGAGACTGGAGCACCGGTGCTCCAAACTCCAGTATATTATGCTGGACCGGTATACTTGCTGGAACTCCAGTATATTATGCTAGAGTTCTAGTGTACTTATGCTGGAACTCCATCATATTATGCTGGAGTTCCAGCATACTTATCCTGGAACTCCAGTATAATACGCGGGAGTTCAAGTATACTTATGCTGGAACTCCGGCATAATATACTGACATAGGTTTTGAATTGTGTTTTTGCTCAGATTTATCTTTACATGAAAAATGGCTAAATTTTAATTACTTTTAAAATTAGACTATTTTTGAACGACCAATTGTAAATTTAAGTATTTTTGAATTTCACTTCACTCCTTTCCTTGTGTCATTTTTACGACATATGTTTATAGGAGTATGTAGATGTTATAGAAGACGACAAAAATCAGATGCGTAGCCCGGCCCGGCCCGGCCCGGCCCATTATGGGGATCCCCGCCCCCCTCCGTTCTGTCAGCTATGACTATGAGCGAGAGAGGTTAGGTCTGTAGTACTGTACAACTGCTTATTCTTAGAATCTCCGCTCCTTCTCATTTTTATATTCCTCTGAAAACTGAAAACATAACCTTCTTCTCCTCTCTCTCTCTCTCTCTAGGGTTTTCTGCATAGTATATATACATATATATACAATAATATATACACAGATATACAGACTCACCAACCTCGGGAGGCTTTTAGCATTTTCCTGAATCAATGGCTTTCTCTTCTCTTCTCAAACCTACCGCCGCTCTTGTTAGACCTTCCCATCGTTCCCAGGTAAAATAATTCAAATCTAACACTGAATATATATGTTGTTATTTGGATCCAAATTTGTGTGTTGTTTCATTTCCGTCAACTCCTGTTTTGTCTTCTGAATTTTACTTCTCTTTCCTGATACGTTTACTTTGTCATCTTACTTTTTCCTTTACAGACTTCCTAATATTATTAAAAAGATCTAAAGCTAAATGTCTGATTCTTGTCTTTGTCAAAACTTTACCGTCGATCTGAAATTTAATAAAAAAGGAACTTTATGCATTTTCTGATGAATTTTGGTTCAGCTGAATTGGGTTTTGTTTTGTTGTTCGTGCAGTTTAAGCTGCTGTATTTGAATTGATTACATTTATATATAAGCTTGCTGTCCGGCACGCCTATTATTTTCCTTGTGGTTTTAATCTAGTTTATGAATAAATGGAAGTTTTTGACTTTGGGTGCATCTGTTCAGGTATCATGTGCAGGTCTTCATCAGAGTGCTAACTCTGTCAAATTACAATCGTCCATCTTGGGAGATGCTGTCTCAGTCATGCAATGTTCGTCCTTACAGTTGAGTGAAAACCGTTCTCTTTCTGTGTCCCTTAGCATCATTTAATTGTGTTACTGTCCTTGACTTCCCTTACTACCTTAAAGAAAAGAAGAAGATAGGAATAATAGTAATTTATAAAATGCGAATATTTTCCTGTAGCTGATGTAAAAAAAGTAAACCTGCAGAAAATCTGGTGCCTGCAGCATTCAACCCGTTAGAGCAACTGCTACTGAGTTACCCCCAACAGTTCCAAGTAAGGCTATTTACACTTTTAGCTTAAGCCTTATGTTGATAAAACCTATTGCTAAGATGATCCAATCTGTTTGGCATTTGCTCAGAGTCCCGGACCAGTGGGAAGACAAGGATTGGTATAAATGGTATGTTGCTCCGTTTTCCTTTTCTTTGGATTATGTATTTCTCAAGGTTCTGGGGTTAAAAACGTTAGCAGGCTTCATTTCTGATGTCTCTCGATTTTCTTTCCCTTTTATAAGTTCATCTAATCATATTTAACCTTCTGTTGCCGCTATTTGGATAATGTGGATGGATGATTGAATTTCTTGTGTGTGTGTGTGTGTTCGTATACAGTTCTCGCAGAACATCACCTTAAATACATGTCTAAAATGTTAAAGCCTTGCAGGTTTTGGACGGATTGGGAGATTGGTATTACGAATTGCAACGTTCAGAGATGATATTGAGGTTGTGGCAGTTAATGACCCATTTATTGACGCAAAGTACATGGTAAGAATATATCCCATGAAGTTGTGGTGTTGATTCTGAATGAAATTGGGATTGGTAAAGTTAAGCTTCGCTGTTATATAAGCTCATCAGAAAGAAATTCTTCATCTCAAAAAAAAAAAAAAAATTACATCCCCATGACTTACCGCTGATGTTATGATGTCAAACTTAAGTATTGGCACCTGAATAGGGGTTGCCAAGTGACTGGGGCTCCTGATATATAATAAGGTTATATTTAAAAAGCACTTTCTTCAAACAAATAGTTTATGCCGTCTCCAAACAATAACTGGTAAAATGTCAAACCTAGCATAAGATCACCGGATTTTTCTTTTTTCTTTTTTTGGCTTTTGTATTTATGTATCACTTCCTCCTCTTGAGGTCTATTTGATGCTTTCATCTTCTGATGGAGCTGAAGCCTTTCATTCCTGCTCAGTATCTCCATTCTCTATCATTCTTTACGTACTTCCACAAGTAGATTTCCAGTCCTCTGGGGTATAGCTGACAAGGGAGGAATAGCCTAGTAATGAAGACACTCTAACTCCAATTTATCACCAAGAGCAAAGGGAAAGGACCAGTATTAAGCTTCTGAGCAGGGGTTTTATTTGATGGAGTTTACCGTATCCAAAAAAAATAAAAACAGAGGAACTTTCTGGGTTAAAGCTGTAACATTTGCTGTTCATTCGTTTTAGGCTTACATGTTCAAGTATGACTCCACTCACGGGGTCTACAACTCATCCATCAGTGTCCTGGATGAGTCTACTTTGGAAATCAATGGGAAGCAGATTAAAGTCAGTAGCAAAAGGTATGACAGTTGAGGGACAAAGTTTAAGAACAATGAAATAAATGAAGTTAGTTTATTGCTATTGCTAATGCAAAGTTCTCTTGATGCAGGGATCCTGCAGATATTCCATGGGGCGATTTAGGTGCAGATTATGTTGTTGAATCTTCTGGTGTCTTCACAACTGTTGAGAAGGCCTCAGCACATAAGAAGGTCGAGAACATGCTATTTTTAGCCTTAAACGCTCTTTCCTTGACCACCTCCTTATTCATGCAGCTCTTCATGTTGATACTTCTTGGTTGATTGTGTAGGGTGGTGCAAAAAAGGTCGTAATCTCAGCTCCATCAGCTGATGCACCTATGTTTGTGGTAGGAGTGAATGAGAGAACTTACAAAACCACCATGGATGTTGTTTCTAATGCTAGCTGTACTACCAATTGCCTTGCCCCCCTTGCCAAGGTTTGGCTTAAGAACTTGCTTAATTGAACAGCCATGCATGATTTGCTTCTCGTCCACTTTTGACAGTCTTTCCCATGCTGTACTCGTTGCAGGTGGTTCATGAGGAGTTTGGCATTGTTGAGGGATTAATGACAACTGTGCATGCAACAACAGGTATGTCTCTTCTTGCTTAACACATGTGTAAACCGTGTTTTTTCATTCTTACTATGTTAAATTTAAATTGACATCGTATTCAGCTACCCAAAAGACTGTTGATGGGCCATCAATGAAGGATTGGCGAGGAGGCCGTGGTGCAGGACAGAACATCATCCCTAGTTCAACTGGTGCTGCGAAGGTATTACATAAGTTCTAGATGTATTATTTTCTCTTTCTGTTTCCCTCTTCTTCTTTCCATTAATGGGTTGGGGGGAGAGGGGCAAGTTTGTGGCTCTGATGGAAGACTAATCTTCCTATTTGAATTATAGGCAGTAGGAAAAGTTCTGCCAGAATTGAATGGGAAGCTCACTGGAATGGCTTTCCGCGTTCCAACACCTAATGTCTCTGTTGTGGACTTGACTTGTCGGCTAGAGAAGAGTGCTTCTTATGATGATGTGAAAGCAGCGATAAAGTATGCCTTCTATATGCTCTATATATCTGCCTCTTGCTTAATGAGGCTACTTTGCCTAATTTGGTGTTTGTTGCTCTAGGTATGCATCAGAGGGTCCACTTAAAGGCATTTTGGGTTACACAGACGAGGATGTTGTCTCAAATGATTTTGTTGGCGATTCCAGGTAGATTTGTGCACTCTTCTCTTTTGATCTCTGACACACTGCTCTTAGGGATCATTCACCTACATGCCTTTTGAGGTTTTACATCTAATGTGCTTCAGAAACTAATAATATCTGACTGCTTCTGGAATTCTGTCTCCTATAGCACCTTTGACCAGATCAATGTAAAACATGTTAAATGGCAGTGGGAAAATTATCCCTCTATTATTTCCCCTGAACAGACCTGCTGCTCAAAGATTTCCAGATTCTTGAACCCAAAAGAAGTGTACAAACAAAAATATATTTTAAAAAAAGAACTGTAGAAACAAATATCACCTGCACGCTGCAGTCCCTTCTTTGAATGTGTATCTGTAAAATTATTCATGATCTGACCCAAGGGTTTGTTCTAGTGGTAAGAGTGTAGTGCGTGAAGTATTGGTTAGGCTCACGTCACGAGTTTGAACCTTACCATAAACAAAATTCGGGTATTTAAGTGGAGAAGGGTAGAAAGGCAGGCACATATTATCCATCGAGTTTCGAACCATGCGCCAGCCAACCCTCGGGAATATCTTGGTTAAAAACCATGATCTTAACATCTCATTCAAAAGCCATAAGGAATTGGTGGTTACCCTGAAACATTACTAGAGGAAAGCAAGAGGTTCCTCTATGTGCGGAGATTATCAACGGAGTTGGATGGGAGTTTGTTCTCTTTTTTTAATTTTTGTGGAAGTGGAAGATTTTTCACTATAATTCAGTGAATTATGTGTCAAAGCATAATGTCTATCTTTTTTTGTTTCTTTTTAAGTAATTTTATATATAGTTATAATCCAGCACAAAGGAGAACTTTTGTCTTCTCAAAAAGTTTTTGTCTTAGATAAGTTACCCAAAAAAAATTAAATTTGGTCTTAGATATGCAAGAGAATAAAGGTTGATATACTCCCCTCTTCTCAGCTACATAAATTTTTCCTGAAAAAGAGGATATGAACAAGTTCATCTGAATAAAGGAGCATGAGCTTCTCGTGCATTTCTATCAGACATTTCTGACCTTAAGCATAAGAGAATAACATCTCAACTTTTTTTTTAAACCTTAAATTTTGCTGAATAAACAACACAAAATTTTAAATATGATGCTAGATTGATTTATTAACAAAAGAAAATTTCCCCCTAAAAAAGTAACGACAACTATCATTAAGTGGTAATATAAACTATAATTATTCGAAGAAAAATGATGGGTGGTAATATAAAATGGGGTCAGGGTGATATTGTGGGGATTATAATACGGAGATTAATTAAATAATAACGGGATTATCTAGTGGAATACTTCTTTTGGTAAATGTTTTGGATTAAGAATAGGATATACGAGGCATAATATAAAACATGTATTTGGATTTGTAACAGATAAATTTGGATAAATTTTATTTTCAATTTAACCTTGGTCTTCTTCTAGGACTTTGGAAGAAGAGCTTGGGAGAGTGATAGTTTTGTCTTTTGGTTGTTTTATCCTTGGATTAGCTATCCCGCGTTGAATCTGGTATAAAAATAATACCAAAATTGTGGTATAATTTATCCCTGAGATAAAATTCTCTACCAAAGAGAGTTACACAATCCCAGATTTTAAGTGAGATGGCAATGACTTGTGTAGGATATAAGTGGACACAACTGCAAATACTATTAACTGTGAATTGTACTATCAATTGCTGATTGAAGTTATGCTGAATTACTAATTAATTGATCTGATGTGTAGGTCGAGCATATTTGATGCTAAAGCTGGTATAGGCCTGAACAACTCATTCATGAAGCTTGTCTCCTGGTATGACAACGAGTGGGGTTACAGGTATGAACTTTTGTCTTTTAACCAACCAAACCCCCC